ATACACATACACACACACAAATTAAATCTCGACATTTCCTGATGCCCCGTAAGTAGCATATCATATATAAATCATAGCATATCACATATAAATCATAGGATATCATATAAATCATAGCATCCTCACCACATATTCTTTTTAGCACTTATCAGGTACACAATAACTATTGTGTCTGATCAGGGTTTGGAAGGTGGGGGAGGGGGTTATTAATTAAAAATCCCTTTTCACAGTTTACCATCTGCCTGAGAATTAACAAATCCAGTCACGGAAAAGTTACACAGTTCATCAACAAAGATGTCAACACAGGGTCCAAACTTCCAGAAAAACAAAAAGGAGAAAAGAAACCTTGAATATAATCTGGACCAGACACCTCATTTTGCAGGTGAGCAAACCAAGTCTCGGCAGGGATATAAAGGAACTAATTAGGGAGAGAAGGTTAGGGACGTGACTCAAAGTCTAATGAGAGGTACAGGCAATAAGTACTGTAAGAAGAGAAAGGTGGCCCCCATCAAGAGCCGGGGCTGGGGGGAGGCCTGGACAGTCGGTGGGATTTTTGATCAACCTGTTACAAGTGGAGCGTGAATGGTGTTTAAAACAAGGCAAGACCCAGAGCAGCAGGAAGGGAAGAATGGGCTAACCTTCTCCTTGGGAGCTGTTGGAGGCAAGTATGAAACGACCCTGGGGTGAGGCAGTGCAAGCCCGTGGATCTTATGAGGTGGCTGCTCGGTGCAGTGAAGGCGGAGAGTGTGGCAGTCATGAGGGCTGGTCTCCAATCCAAATCCTGTCTTAACTCTGCAAAAGCTCTTCCCATGAGTTCCCTCATCTCAACGAGAAGGCAGCACCAGCCACTTCTCATAATGTGTGAGAGTTAAATGACTGAACATAGGTGTGGGTCAGTGACGAGCACTGGGTAACTGCTGGGTCCAGGCACTGTTCAGGTGTAGGATCCAGTGATAAAGAACAGAAGAGGCCTTGCTCCCCAAAGAACTCACACTCAAACTCTACCTGCGGGAGGCCAAAAATAAGCATGTAAACAAAAGAATTTCCTGGCATGAGATGCTCATGCAGCAGGTAAAACACCCAGGAAAGTGGTGGAGATAACATGGAAGCAGCTCAAGAAACTGGGCTGTCCATAGCAGACCCTCAATGAGGGCTCACTGCTCTCTCCCAGCCTCCCCAACTCAAGTTCATATTTTACCCTGGGGCAGTTGGAAGCTATAAAGGCACTGGAGTAAAGCAATGACAAGACACAACTACAAAAAGGCACAATGACTGCTTCTTGGGATGGCCATGGTTGCCGTTGAGTTCTTTCTGCCACAATTAACACCGTGGTACGGCTTCTTAAAGGCCTCACCACTTTCCACCTGCCTGCACCAGGCCACTCCTGCTAACTCCTTAACCAAGTCTAGGAGTCTCCTTGTCACCCAGGAGCATCTATCCCAACCATTCTCACCCAGGCTGCTCAAGAGAAGCAAAAGATGGCTTGGTTTTACTTCCTCTGCTCTTCTTGGCTCTTCCTAGAGTGACCTTGCTAATGAAAACACACAAACTGAATAAACACTTGAAGAAGAAACCATCTGCTTCATCCTAAAAACGTCAGTAGGAAGCGTGTTTGTTTACCAGGGGGTCATGAGGACAGGACACATAAAACCTTCTCAGGGACCTTAAGGGGTGATGATACTTGTGGGGGAGTGGAGGGGGGTCATTAACCCTTTCAGATCCTCAAGAGTCGGTTAGTTTTATAACCTCTGGTTGGAAGAGGAAGCTACATATACCATAAACCACAGGGTGAGGCTTATTTGCACAGCTTTTTCCACATAAAGATGATAAAATGCTGAGGAAGAATTTACTATAAGTATTGTTGTAGAACTTTCAACTGTGCAGAGGAAATACCTATAAAGATTGCCCAAGTTCAAGAGCAGAGGTAGTGGTAAAACTAGCTACAGAGTGGAAAAGTGTGATGCTCACTGCTGAGTCCTTTGAAAAGGTTAAAGTCTTAAATAATTTTTTTAAAGGCTATAAATAGCGATGGAGGCGATCTTGGAGAGTATTGGTTATCTGTGCCAGGAAACATTTGGGGAATTTGCATTTACAATGATGACTTTGCCCATATTCATGCTCTACAAGAAAAGTAATAAGAAAAGGCCCAGGAAATTCAATCCCCAAGGAAAAAAATGGTTCAGAGGAGAATGTTCCCAAAGGGAAACTGTAATGACTTCTGGCAGTGTGCCCTGCTCATCTGTGCAGCAAATGTGAGTGAGCAAGGAGAATTCATTCTCTTGGGGCCCCCAATCAAAGGAGGGATCACGTGTGGGCAAGGGGAACTCTTCCAGGGTCACTCAGCTTTGATGAACTCACAGCATAAAGTTTTGGAGCAAAGTTTTAAAGCAGTTATGAGGAGCTGAGTCTCCTGCAATCCTGTGTCACTCTCCTCCAATCCTGAGCACAGTGACGTGAGTCACCATGACCGGCCTGATGCCTTCCAGCTGCATGAAGGCCTGGCTGTTTCAGTTCATAAAGAGCACAAGGTAGCAATTTAGAATCAGCTTAGTCAATAAAAATGCTGATAGCTGCCTTTCTACAAGCACTTATAAAAAAGCATTCTCACTGGTTGAGAAAGAACATTCTAACCAAACTAGAAAAGTGAAAACGAATGGATGAGGCATGTGAAAAATTAACAATTAATTCTACTTGTAAAATAAACTTTCCAACATTCAGTCAGCAAACATTTAATGAACACCTACTACATACCAGGTGCTGTGCTAGGTGTCAGGGATGAGACAAGGTATGTGCCCTGAGAAGCCAGCAGAGAGGTGACAGACATCAATACCACTAATCATTTTTGTATTAAGCTCACAGTATGTGTTAAGAGTTGTTCTAAACACCCTACTTGTATCAATTCTTTTTTGTTCTCATAAAATGAGGTAGGGTTTATTATTAGTCTCACTTTACAGGTGAAAAATTGAGATACAAAGAGGTTAAGTACCTTGTTCAAGGTGATCAATATGTTAGAAGGAGAAGCTGGGATTTAAACCCAGGCAGTCAGGCTCCACCCTAATAGGTGTATGAACAAACATCTGAAGGAAGGAAGAAAAAGCCCCAGCTACTGCCTCAAGGAGTTGGCATCTGGGTAAAACTGATAAGGCCTTTAAGGATGCACAGGAGTTTATGGGGGGGGGGCTTGCCAATGAGAAAGGCTCCCTCCAAGCAGAGGAATTACAAATACAAAGCACAGACATCAGAAATTGTCAAGTAATACAATTCTGAAGGATGAAAACATTTCTATTCCTATTTCTTAGGCAGAGAGCTTCTATATAGTTCCTAAACAGTAGCTAAGAACAGTCTTGACATTCTTTGGTTTAGGGAAACTGAAGAACTGCAGTTGAATATAGTACAATGCTCCCTGTAGTTCATGCACACAACAGCAGCATTTGATAGCTCCCTAGTCCAAACCACATACAGGAACACCATTGAATAGAATGTGTTGCTAGGGACTTGGGCTCAGAAGCCCTTAACAGTACCAAATAGGAAATACTGAAACACTGAAACTAAATACCTCACCAAACCAGTCTGGCAATGCAGAGAAAAATTGCAGGGGGGTTAGAAGGGACAGGCCATGCGTTCTAAAAGGCCTAATTCTAGCAGGCTAGCAGGTGAGTTCCTCAATTTATTTTTACAATTTCAGCAGATTAGCAAACAGCTTTGCTCACCAAAATACGAAGATGTTCCCAAGGCCTTGACAGATATGAAATTCCAAAACAAGAAAATTAGAAAGACACGAAAGTTGTTTGCGACGTACAATAAATTGGTGGTTTTATACATAGCTATTCTGAGGCTTATCTTTCCCTGAGACAATGATAATTCACACTCTCTGGACAATATTCTTTGAAATGAATATAATTTAGTGAATCATATCACTTAAATGATTAAATGATGGGTTACAGACATTAATGCCGACTTAAGTTTCAGTCGCTCTAGCCAACGGGAATAATAGACGGATCGGCTCCACTTTAAAAACAGGTTATGTTCCCAAAGTTTCTTTATAAGTTGGCTGTTTGGAATTCGAGAGCTATTTTCTTCCCCCACAATGTTAGAGGTGGTGCTTAGAACCCAAGACGGAACACGGAAAACAAGATCCAGAGTGTGCTAAGAATCCTATGGACTCATCACGTAAAGGATAATGATTCCTGAGAAGCATGCAAAGTTCTGGAGAGCTGGCCGCACACCTCACTCTCCCTGCCTGGGAACAAGAACTCCCCCATCTGTACATGACTGCTGGTGGGTCCCTGACCTCTTGCTTTCGGAGGAGGTTGGGGGGATGAGGGAGGGCAGGGGGCGATGAGGCAGGGACTCTGAGGAAAATAGCAGGACCATGGTGGTGTGGGGCTCCCACTGATGGAAGAGGCCAAGGCTGGCGGTTCCTTCTTCACTGCCCAGCTCCCAGATGCTCCTTTGCTCCACCCCTGGGATGGTGGGCCTCCGCCCTTCCAGAGCTGCCACACTGTGGGCTCAGGTCAGGGTTTTTCTACACCCCACTCCCCACCTACAAACATGGGCGTCAACTTCTCTTCTGACATGAGAACACCCATACAGGGCTTCAATGGTCTTCTCAGGATTTTTCTTCCCAGTACCTTAGAGCAGTGGCATGCATACACGCACAGAGAAACTGCCTGTGATAAGCAAATTAAACTGAGATCCAGCCACAAGACCACAATTCTCTCCAATTCAAATATATATAGTACATATGCATATACATACACATATATATTTGTATATGGAAAGTCAGTAAAATTCAAGTGATGTGCCCACTGATATCATTATATAGGCAGTTCATGAATAAATGGAGAACAGGTCAGAGGAGAGTGTTGGGGAAGGGGGGATGCTGAATACACAGACCCTCTTCCTGCCACCTCATGTCACTAAAACACAGGAATGAGATGAACTTCCCCATGCCGAAGGCTGCCCACACACTTGAGTTCACAGATACACCCCCAACTTACTGGAACTTCAAATGCCTCCTGGGTGTCATCCAGCATTTGGATTTTGATGGACATGAGTTTTCCTGAAGGTGTTGGGGGCGGCTTCTGTCCATGTTCCAAGGTACTGATCCCCGAATTCTCTGGGGCCCCCAGTCGAGATCCTGGAGTCGGCCTCTGCTCTATTTCTCCCATGATGAAAGCAGATTATATAATGTCTGCAGGAAGCAGTGAGAGAGAGAGATACATCAATCAGAGTGGAGACTCACTCATTTAAGCCACTTAAGTAACACTTATGATCTTCTGCCCTTCATCCTGGGAATTTCCCCAAACCACGCCAGGCTCTCCACTGTCTGCACAGGAACCACACAGGGAGAGGCGCCAGTCCATTTACTAACAAGGTCACCTTTAGCCACTCAAACCATGCAAACAGCGGTGCATGTTTTATTCTTTCCTCATTTTACAGTCAGCTCTTCGTAATTCATACCATAGATTCAGTCGTGTTCAACATTATATTCAGTGTCTACAATGAGCCAGGCACTACTTTTTACACATTCTAAGTCTGGTGGGAAGGTAATGAGCAGTGCCTACGCCATATCATTAGCATTCATTAAGGACACACTAACATACTAAATAATGTGAGTATATAAAGATAAATAGATAAAACATACATCGTGGCTCCCGAGTTTATCATTGGATTGAGGAAACTAAACATACACTCACACAAACACAGGTGAAATCATATAGGGTCTTTTCTCTTGGTTTCTTCTGCTTGTTTCTACAACAATTACTTCCTAATTCATCTCTTTCCTACCTACCCCCCGAGTTGTACCCCTTTCCCCATGTACATGTTATAGTATAAAGAGTTATTTTCCTAAAAACAAAACACAATCATCTTTCCCTTCCAAGCTGTCCACTCTTCTCTCATGCCACAACCCCACTCCCTGCCCTCCCACTGCCTGCCTTGCTCCAGGTCCTCACATGCGGAGCTCTCTCCGGCTGAATGCTTTGCACTTGTTCTCCACCTGGAAGCTTCTACCGTCACTTTAAAATGCCATTCAAATGTCTCATCCCTGACACCGAGGCAGAGCTCAGGTGTTGCTGCTGCTCTTGCTCATGACCCTGTCAAGCTTCAGCACGGTGGTCGATTCCATCCTGTTTACTTTCCCCATTACATCATAACCCTAAAGCAGAGACCAAACCTTGAGTATTCTTGGGACCTCAGCACCTACCCTGCCTGGCACAGAGTGGAGCTCAATAATGGCTGCTTGATGATGGGCCAATCGGCCAGGACATTTATGCTATGGCCAACATCTTAAGTGTCACAAGAACACTAAGAAATGAGATTTCAATGAGATGAAGTGTTTTTTAAAGGGAGGGGAGGGCTTCCATCATAGAGAAGGTAGGGATTCAATTCAAATTAGTCTCAAACATTGGGTAATACTTGAAAGGAGACAGAAACACACAAGGAGGAGGCATGCCAGGAATGCCAACAGCACCAACAAAGCTATGGGACAGACTTAAGATGCCATATAGGAAAAAGAGTGAGAATCAATGCTGAAGGGTTAAAGATGCATTTGGAAAATAGGTAGGAATCAGACTATAAAGAGCCTCAAATGCCTAGTTGAGAAATATAGTCTTTACACTGTAGGTGATAGGGAGCCACCAGGGTAAGAATATGACATAAAAGTAGAACTTTTGAAAAATGAATCTGAAAATGATATACACTGTGGAGTACAAAAAGCGAGACGGGATGGCAGGGGCTGGGGTGTGTCTAGTTACAAAGCTCCTGCATCAATTTGTGCTGCAGGGAAGAACTTGGACAGTGGCGATGGAAACGACAGGTGATCGTGTAAAATCCACTTCTGTGGAAAAACTAACCTGATGTTGTAATCGTTTAGCTACTGAGAGAAGACAAAACTATAATAATGATGAGAAAACTTTAAATCAGGGCAAAGGGGAGGAAGTAGGAGGGAGAGGGTGAGTTTGATTAGGGGCACTGTTCAGGGTTATAAAGGGACACACAGTAGGCTGAGGGGGAGGGGGAGCTGGACGTGAACTACGGATTCAGAGTCGATCTTGTACAAGTGAAAGTGAAGGCAAGTGGGGGACAGAAACAAAAACGCAAACATAACAAACATGCCCAGACATGAGGTCTTATTTGCTAAATTGTGTCCCCCACCCCTAAATTTATGTTGGAGCCCTAACCCCCAGTATATCAGAATGTGACTATTTGGAGAAAGGTTCTTAAAAGGAGGCAAGTTAAAATGAGGCCATTAAGAAGGGTTGTAATCCAATCTGACTGTTGTCCTTTTAAGAAAAGGAATTTTGTACAGAGACATCAGGGATATGTGAGCACAGAAGAAAGACCATGTGAGGACGCAAGAAGAAGATCCCTCATCCCCTAAACTAAATCCTATCTCTCCCTCCGGCCCAAGATCCCCAGATGAATATATGGGGTGGGCAAAAGGAGTTTTACAGTTGTGCATACCCAAAATAGATTTACTCTTGTATTACTATTTATTAATTGTTGTATTATTTATTATTATTAGCCTACTTTTGCCCACCCCTGTATATTGTCATTGTCAGCACCTTGGCTTTTAAAATCAAATTGAGTTTATCATTCATAGATACTTGGTACCTTAACTTCCTTTCTCTTTAGTCTTCAAATGACCTCATGCCTATGTTATTTCTACTTCTGGATGTTAACATTTAAACAAAGTATGTCGCACTCTCTTCTCATTTTCATACTTGCACACAGACTGTTGCTGTACATGGAAATACTGTTTAATTCAAATACAAATCCAGCCAAGAGTTCTGAGTTGAGCATCCTAAGAATGTCAAGGGAATAGCTGAGGAATGCTGGCAGATCGTAAATGGGTAACCACAGTGGATGCTTGGTATCAAAACTGGTAAAGTCATGTCACACAGCACAGCCTTCTCAGTGAACAAGTCCAACAGAACCGAACATCTCCTGTTTACAAATATCAAGCCATGCTCTACCTGATTATTCTGATTTTACCTCCAGAACCTGCCTGGACTTCTGATTTCCTTAAGGAATAGGCAGAGTAAAGGAAATTAGGATTTCTTTCCTTGTGATACATTTTACTAACATGATCATCCCAGATCTAAAAATAAAAGGCTGTTTGTGAAACTACTGAAGGAAATAGTAACTACGACACAAAGAAAATAAATTTTTTAACTTGTGGAGAAAAGATAGAAAACTAGAGTTGTCTTGTCATAGTATCCTGGCTTAAAGACTTCCGCTTGGAAGTCACCCAAAGGCAATCAGGAGGACACACACAAATGCAACTCCATCCCTCAGGAAACTAGAAGACATCTGCAACTCTGAACCACAAAATGTGACAAAGAGCTGCCGAACTGCAGTGAAGGCCAGACAGAGAAGGAAAATGCTTTACGAGGCTGTCCATGCCTGCAGAGTCACACTCCCCAAGTAAGTAGAATATCCTTAGCAACAAACCCCACACTAGCTTTCCCGGAACAAGCGGAACAGATGTGCAGACTAGCACTAAGAGCTTCCCTGGATGCAGTGTGGTGGGAAATCTCCAGAAGCACTAAAGGCGGACTTGAATGAGAAACTACACGGCCAAGCCATATTTGCAGGAAGCAGCCAATTGCTGAGAGAAGGTGACAAAGACAGACAACAATGGGAATACTCAGCAAGCAAGAGAAAAACAAAGGTTGAGAAGATTACATCTTCATTCACACACACACACACACACCCCCACCAGGTCACAAGAATTCCTACTAGCATGGGACATGGCCCTGTCTCCTGGCTCAAGTGAAGCTCCTGCAAGTAGCTACTTCATAAAGAACTCGCCTGATAACAAAAAGTGACCTTTAAAGATATGCTGGAAGAGAGAGAAAAATGAAAATGAATGACAGGTGAAAAACACCTAGCAAAGAAATGTTACATGCAACAGATCAAAATTTTGCCCAAACGTATTGTCATAAATTAACAAAGCAATGAAATAATCAATTCTATAAACAAAAATATAAGAAAATTTACAAGAGTTCAGGGAAGTTATGGGAAACATGAGAAGGAAATAAAGTATGAGGGCAGATCTCAGGGGGAAGAGAACCCAGGAGAGTGAGTAAAAATAAAAGACTGAATGTTTGTGTCGCCCACCCCAAATTTGTATGCTGATACATCATCCCCAGTGTGATGGTACAGGGAGGTGGGACCTTTGGAAAGTGATTAGATGGTGACGGTGAAGCCCTCATGAATGGGATTAGCACCCTTATAAAATAGACCCCAGACAACTCTCTTGTCTCTTCCACTATGTGAGGACCCAGTGAAAAGACAGCCATCTGGGAACCAAGAAAAGGACGGTCACCAGACACTGAAGCCACTGGCTCTTGATCTCAGATTTCCCAGCCTTCAGAACAGTGAGAAATAAATTCGTTGTTTATAATTTCTCTTGTTTATGGTATTTCATTATAGCAGCCCAAATAGACTAAAACTATCACCAAAATGGAAGTAGCTAAAAGGAACTACGATACGGAAAGATAGAGGAGATCCAACATACCCATAACTGGTGTCCCTACAGGAAAAAAAAAAAAAAAAAATTAAATGGAACAAAAAATTAAGGTATAATTCTGGGTAACATTCCAGAAATAAAAAAGAACTCTCCATAAAAAATGAACATATATCCCAGAAATAACTAACATAAAACGATGAACATCAAAACATTTCCTGTGTCACCACTGATCTTCAAAACTAAGAAGGAATCATTTGGGCACTTAGGCAAGAAGTTCAAAAAAAAATACGAGGGACAAATGGTCAGAATCATTCATAGCAACATTTAATACTTAAATGTCCAAAATATCCTCAAAGAAATAAAAAAGGAATCAAAACTTAAAACCCAGCCACATTTTTAATCAAATATAATAGCCAAATATTGTAAGTAGTCAAAAACTCAGAAAAATGTTACCCAAGCCCTGCCAGAGGATAAAGTACGGCAAAACAAGTAGCGAAAGTAAGTGGCTAAATAATGAAAAACGATTATTGGTAACTTTACATTTATATTGAGAGAGGAAGACTAAAATAACTGCAATAGATGCAGAATATAATGCCTGACAATGTGGCAAGAACAGACCAAAAAGTTGGCAGGGGAAGGAGTAGAGATGGTGAGAGACACTGTTAACTGTTAGCACATGTTTTTAAATTGATACTAAAAAGAGAATTTAAATCTCCCAAGATATGCGATGGTTAATAAGCACACGA